ATAAAATGGAAGGTGGTACACATTCTAACACAATGTAGACTAAATCTAGACTCAGTTGAACACATTACATATTGTTCGGGGCAGAACTAATCTATGGAAGGAAGGTCATCCTAGGGGGGTGCTAACCCCTTAGTGCCCTCAGTTGCAGATTTGGTGTCTTCTTCAATGTTTTAAATGACGGTGCTCAGAGTCTTGGGACGGAGTTTATAATAGTAGGGATCATTTTTCAACCCTAAACCTTATATGTATACCTGAACCCTATCGTACGTTGAACATATAAGACCGGATGCATCATTATCAGACTCCTAGAGGTGATCCAATTTTTCAGGATTTGTGAACATATGTCCACGGAACAAGTCGTTGTCTTAGGTGTTTAAAACATGCAGAACGAAATATCTATTCATATGGGCAAACATTGGACATAATTAAAAAATGATCACTGTCATGTGCAAATATACGTTAATTGTTCGTTATAATGTCAATCACGATTCGTAAAAAATAAAACAGCATGTACGTTGTTAGATGCATTCTCTTTATGACATTAGTCATCAGCTTACTCTTAAGAGGGTTTATGCTTTCCGATGTCAATAAAATATGCAACATAATAAATTCTATCCTGCCTTTTCTTTTTAGGCTAATTAAGGACTCTTCGGTATCTTTCTAGAATAAACGTACGAATGGAATACATCTTCTGTTGTCTTTGATCGTGCCAAATGCCCCTTGGCAGTCTCTTGAAATAATAGTTTTCCTGGGATATACTTTCTCCTCCGCTAGAGACAGTAACCAATGCTTGTCAAATTTTTCGCATCAGAGGAATTGAAGGATTCATTACTCTTCTTCGTCTCAATCTGTTCCTGATAATTATTTTCACTAACCTTTGAGGGGGATATTCGATCATCTTTTGGCTGCTCAGATACTTTTTTTCGTTTTCGCGGATCCAGCCATATGGGGAAGGGGAATGTAATCTCTAGCTCCTTGAGTCGAAGACCTCTTTCTGTTACTTGGATACACATCATAGTGCTCAACTCATTCTTTGATAGTTTTGGGAGACGATTTCTTGGCTGGGTATTCTTTGGCTTCCTAGGTTCCTTGGAAGAGATAGTTGTAATTTCCTTCTTCGGACTCATTATTCCTTGCTATTGGAAGATTTTAATTAACACTAATGTCGTTAAACCCCTCTTCTTGTAGAGTGGCTAAAGAATTTGTTCGTCTTAATTTATTAGAATGACACTAATCACGTTAAACAGTTTTTCCTTTCCGTCCCCTAAATTATTCCTATTTGATTATTATTTGGAATGACATGGAAGGGGGTAAATAGTTGTTTTGGGGTTTCTGCAAAATACTTCTTCGTCCGTAATTATTCGGAATGACACTAATCAGGCTAAACAAATTTTTTCCCTGCGTTGTTAATTATTCCTCAACTGATAATTAATTTGAATGATATTAAATTGTGGAGACAGTCTCTTTTTGTTTTGTGCAAAATATTGTTGTCTTCGTAATTATTCGGAATGAAGTTGCAAAAGTGCAACATTTGTCACTGTTGTTGTGTAAAATAACGCACACATTCTAATTATTTGGAGTTACACTAACCGCGGAATAAATTCTTCTTCCTTTTTCTTCCTTCACTTTGGCACTGTAATTACTCTTATTGAAACGAATGGGGTTGAATTTTGTTCCTTTTTCCATTACGTTAATTCTTTTTTTGCCACGGAATTTTTTTTAGGATGTTACGTGATTGAAACATTATTGTGTGTGTTTGCAAAATATTGCCTTCTCTGGTAATTATTCTGAATTACACTAAATGGGGGGAACCTCCGCTGTTCCGGGATTCCTCTAATTATTTTTCGGCTATCGCATTTCTGGAAACACATTACCCCAGTGAATCATCCCCCTTCGACTGTGTGTGCAAAATATTGCCTTCTTTGGTAATTATTCAGAATGACACTAAAGTGTTGGAACATTCGCTGTCTTTGAATTTGTTTAATTATTTTTCTGGAACCGCATTTTCGGAATCACATTACACTAGTGAATCATCCCCCCCTATTCCTGTGTGCACAATATTGCCCTGGGGGGTAATTATTATGAAGGAGACTAAATGATTGGAATATTCGCTGTTTCCCGACTCCCTGGATTATTTTCCCGCACCCGCTCTTTTCGAATTACATTACACCAGTTTATCTTCCCCCTTGATTTCTGTGTCCAAAATATCGCGCGGTCTGGTAATTATTCGGAATGAAAGTAAAGGGGTGGAATATTCGTTCCTTTCCCAGTGGATCATCTATTTCCTTGCACACACACTTTGGGAAGGGTATTACACGTGTGAAATTATTTTCTCTCTTCCTGTGGGCAAAATTTGTCCCTGTCTGCTAATTATTTCGAATGAAAGTAAAGGG